ACGGTATAACACGCGTTTCAAATTTTAGATTAAACCGAACTTGGTGGCTCTGGAAAGCTAAGACTCGGGGCTTTCCAATGATACATAGATCGTCTTCTGGGTCCTTACAGAACGACGGGAAAACAGCCCGGAAGTTCGTTGTTCGGAACTGGAAACAGGAAATTCCAGTCTCAGAAAATATGAACGACACGTTGACATCTAAAGAACACAGAGCACGGAAATTACACCAGAAACAGGATTGGAAACCTTTTCTGAAAACTAGACAGATAGAGCTTTCCATAGATAGGTGGATCGTCTCCTAAGTCCTTCTGGTTCAACGGGAATCCTCACTCGAAATGGGCTGATCGCAGACCCAAAACTGCAGAAATATCTCTTAGTAAAACGACGATAACTCTCGGAATACTAATCCAAATGACAAACCGATTTTGCCCAAAGCTAGGTACGAGAGTGGAGAATTTACCCTATAAGTTTTGCTCCAATCCGATCCGATCTTTCCAGCCGTTCTTCTCCCCTTCTAAAATCGGACAGAACTGTTTTTCTCTCAAGAAAGTCACTTCTCTCACAATTCTCTCTAACTCTTCTGATTTTCGGCCAAAAGAGCCACAAAACACGAACTCCACGCTTATATAATGGAACCCTAGGGTTCCCTAAACTGATCGCCAAACCGAGCGGTCAAAAACCAAACCAGACGGTTCAATTTCAACTTGCGTCGATCGACGCACAACACTTGTGTCGATCGACGCAACACCCAGAACCCGACTCCTCGCGAGTCCAAACACGTGTGTCGATCAACGCACCACCAAAAATACACATTTTGGTTCTTGGGCATTAGAATAATAATCATCAAAACCCAGCTTGTCACGCTTTGGAGAGCCTCTAGAAGCTCTTTGTTAACAAATATTTTCATTTTCCCAAATCTTTACAATGAATCTCCTAAATTCTGTTTTATTTCGATCTTCTAAAATCCGTTTTGGTCAGAGAATTGATAGCCTGATAGGTAATTTATACTGATTATACTATTTGATATGTTCTATCATTGACCATTTCGCTTCTATCATGAGTTACTTTCAATTTGTTTGGTTTCGTAATGTATTCAAATTTTTTTTTATTTGTTGAACTCGTATGTATTCAAATTTTCAGAAATATTTTTTTTCTTTTTGAATATTGTAAATATCTGTTTCACCTAATACCATACCCATCTTTGATTGTTGACAATACATAATAAAATAGCCTTTTAGAACGTGTTAGGCATCTTCCTCCTATTATCTTATTCCCATGTTTGTTACTTTTTGACAAAAATTTTTTTATAAAAGTGTTAGGATGTCATTTCGAATATTTATTCATCTTTTCTTCTGTATAACTTATGACCCGATGGCTTCGACGATGCTTTCCAAACCTAGAAATGTTCAATAATGAACTTAGTCAATGGTCAACCAACACCTTGCTAATTGCTTCCAAACAAACCTTCCATTGATATAATAATGAGATTTAGACATTTAGTACATATATATCCTTTGTGTGATTCAACAAATTAATAACTTTTAAAAAGAATTGTTTTTGATAAAGTCTTGTTCAAACGTACAAACTCAATTCACACAAAAAAACCCATAAAATATATCAATTAGACGTATAAAATTTTATACGTCTAATTGGTATATTTTGACACAGCAATCTAAACAAAATAAATAGATTTTTTTTAATAATTATCCAAGGTAGACACATAGATTGAGCATTTTTTTCAAAACACTCTATTTTCTTTAAGGCATTAGATTGAATTCACTTTGGCTGATCTTTTGCTTCAATTTTAAGGAAACATTGGCACCTGCAGATTCTATTAACATGTTAATTAAGTA